AAACTTTTTCTACAAATAGTCTGGGACTATTCGTAGAAAAAGAGACTATGCTACAGAACCTGTTCTTTGCAGCCTCTCAGTCTTTTCCTGGCCTTAGTTACGAATTTTCAAACTACCGTGCTCATGCATGTTTTTGACGTCGTTCTGGACGGCGCTAAAACGGTTTTTTTCGCAGGAAAAACTGTGGAAGAGGTAAGAACTAAGCTTCTTAGTCGAAAACATCTTTTGTAGTTCAAGTATGTCATTTTGTTCTTCGTGTAAAAATTTGTGTCGCATACGGGAATCGAATTTGCTGGCCTGAAGTATGCCTGAAAATTCAAAAGTAAACTTGCAGAATCTCAAACATTATTGAAGGTGTGTATATGTGCTATAGATGCTGGGCGCACCCATTGGCCTAGAAATTCTGCTTCCGACACCTCACTGAAATTCTCGCAGGTGTTTTTGAGATTGACATTCGTTTATGCAGGTTACCGCGAGAAATGTGGGCAGGGGAGGTAAGGGGGATAGATGGGGGAGGGAGAGGGAGGGGGAGGGGGGGGGGGTCGTACGGATGGGTACCTTCAAGGGGGGGGGGGTCGTAAATGAGGGTTCAGATCGCATCAACACGCTTGACCCTGCATGGGAGTGAGTAGAGGTCAACCTGTAAGATGACTACATGTGATCTAAAAAGACTCGGATGGGCCCGGTGGGAGTCACCGCTTGGGTGTTCGAAGTGTTCAATCGGTGGAGAGCGCTTAAGAAACCGCCGCGGGTGGACCTGTACGAACAAAGAGATTTTCTTGCGACGTTTCGAGTTTTTTATTAGAGATCAAGACGGGGCTTTAAGTAAGCATTCTGTTTACAAGATAATGGTGTCTCTATAATCGGCTACGTTTAGGTTTTACATCAGTTATGTGTTTAATAACTCCGGGCAAGTTTTGCAAGCCATGCACTTTGTGGTTTCCGTTACTGTTTTGTTCTTCACAATTCTTCCCCTGTTTTCGCTTTTCTGCTCCAAAAATCGGGTTAGAGCAATATTAAAGGAAGGATGCAACAGTTCGGCTTTGAACTGAAACTTCACAGTGATAACTACGTAATGAATAGCCTGTCTGCTCTATTCACCGCCGACAAACAAAAGCGCGCACAAACATGCAAACAAGCAGTACATCGGAATAGTATTCACCATTACAGAAGTGATACTTGTACTTATCTCATGAAGTACACTCCAGTTCTTTTCACTGGAAGCAACTCGCTTTCCATCCCTGAAACTCCCCAAGGATGCCATAGCTGCTTTCAAAAGCATTATAAAAATCTCTTCACACACCTATGCCAACGCAATCATCCTCTTGTTAGAAGATCTAAAAACATGCCGAGCCAGGGATCTAGATGAGATGGTTACGATTGCCCTTTCACAAGATGAATGAGTTTGAAAAATTGCTTAGATTTCTTTTGTGGCGTTTTCTTTGGCAGCAGCTGAATTTATACCATCGCCAATGGCGGCACTATCGCTGCTTGGCTATTGGATGTGTGTCAAGATGATGTTTGAGTCACGTTCTTTGACAACTGCACGAATATCTGTTACGCAGCATTTGGCGACGCTCACGAAGAAGTTATGGACTGCGATAGCTCCTCAATCGTTCACTATAGAAGCCCACGTCAATTACCTCTTGTAATTTTATGTTTTGCTGGCCAACTCGTGGCCAACAAAGTGGTTTTTGATTTTTTTGATTTTGATCTTTTAAATGGTTTTTTGACCACGGAATGCGAGAGGAACTGAATTCGTCTGAGTCTATGTATCAGTGGTCATCGGCGCCTTTCGAGGCCCACCATCATCGAGTTCGTAATGATGTCACGTGAAATGGACATGGCAATCACGCAATTGCACCTGGCAGATGATACGACCTACGTGCTCTTATCAGCTGATGAGTTTGGGAAACAATACCTCCGCCTTAATAGGATTTGGTCTGATATTGCGCGGTCTACAGAACTCAACAAAAGCTTAATAGCAGTCTTAAAAGCGAAATGCCTATCTTGTGCTCTACACTTTGATAAAGACGCACAAACACCCGGCAGTAGGGCTTTCTTCAAACAATGCGCGTGATTACAAAGTTCGACACTTAATCAACGGCAGTGGGGGACCAACAGACAAAATAGCATGACTGCTGGTTCCTTAACATAACTCTATCACAGCTGCTTCAATTGGTCCCTGCGCACCTCAATAGTACCAACATGTTCCTTGATCGCCTGCGTACATACAACACAGCTTAGCCGCGACTGCGTCATTGAATCATTTGACGAATGACGTAACATCGCTGCATACCAATGTATCCAATGACGCTGCACTCCAAGCTAGCTTCGAGTTACGGTCTGAGCATTAAGCCTCTCATAACTTAAACGGTTTCAGCATCCACTGAATAACAACTCTACTACACGAATGCTTGCAAGTTCAGTATTCCGATGGTCGGGCCAATATTACACACAGATTAGATCTCGCACCTACTCTGGCAATCATTTTCATGTCTAAGGTAGAAGCGCCAGTGCTGCAGCGGAAACCCCTGCTTTACGGTCGCTATAAAGATGACACCCAGCAGTAAAAACATCTTGGTACATTCTTTGTCTGCACATCCAAATAGCAGCGGTCTACTGTGGGCACTATGTACAGAACAGCTCTGCGGGTTAGTTCCGGCAACACCGAACGATTATACTCCATCGCCTTGGCACAGAGGATTGCTGCTTCCAACGGCTATGCCACACTTGAGCACAACCGTGGAGCACATGGGTCTTCTCTGAGCAGAGCTTATGATATGAGCACCGATAACGAGATTCCCTTTTGCATGCCATTTATATCTGATGAATTGAGCAGGGCAGTGCAGCGAGGCGTAAATCAGGCGGGTTTGCACGGCGTGGTAAGAGTGGTCGATATTCCTCCCGCTAATCTCAGACGCCAGTTGGTTCGTAATCGAGCTTATGACCGCATATGTACTACTCCAAACTTCATGGTTTGCCTGTATGGTAGATGTGGGGACTGTATGCTAGCCGGGGTTATCTACCTCATTATATGCTTATCATGCGGCGACACTTACATTGGCGAAACAGGACGCCCGCTTTGCTGTCGCGTTAAGGAGCATATAGACGATTTGAATAAACTAAAAGCAGCTACGCCATTGGGGTTAGAACTCGAGATCCTCACGCGCAAAACTTCAGAAGCGTTCTAGATTAGCGCAAAATCCAAAGATGAACCGGAAGGAGAAGTGTACCGCTATAAAGAGGGAACTCGCGCCTTATCAGTCCCTATGCGGATTTGAATATGAGGCCGGGTCATCAAGGCACGTATAAAAGAGTTGAAGTAATGGCCCGTAGTAGAGCTGTCTCAGTCGATCTCAACTGAATAAAATTTCACTGAGGCTTCGACGAGTCAACTTGCCTTCAGTCAAGCCATTGATTGATAATGCCAATCCTCCACAATGATAAGACTGAGAGTGCCACGTCCACGCAAGTATACAAGTCAAAACGCGTTCATCAATCACTCACATCTGACTAGCAACAGAGATGTGGCCGCACTCGTTAGAACTTGTTGAGTACCGTTAGCCACACTGTGGCTCCTCACCCAGTATTTTCGACACGTTGAACTGATGTGTATCGTAAGTTACTCGGGAGTAACTTACGGAGAATTTCTGCGTATCATCAGTTACACACTACTCAAATCAATTGGTCGTCTAACTGAATGTGAACTGATTGAAGTAAGGTAGACTACCTCGTCAGGTAGACGGACGATCAACTGAAATTTCGTTTTGCATTCTTACAGCATGGGAAGGTGGTAATATCAGTCTACCTTACCGAATCTCGGATGTGGGCCTCAGTTCAGTTCACGTAAACTGAATTAGCTTTACTGCGGGCCAATGTCTTGTGTATAGGTGGGTGGTCCTCGAAATTCTGTCTTGTGCTACCTAAGGTGAGTACTTTGCTTATGAATATGATTTGGTTAACATTAGCTTGTTTTCGGATGATGCTTTGGTCTTTTGTTGATGTCTGGGCGAGTAAGTTAATACGATCTCGGCTTGCAGGCTCTGAAGAAGGCGAAAACGCCGAAACATTAGCGAGTAATGAAGAGTTATCAACCTTGGAAGTTTGCTTAGCCAATTCCACTACGAGTTTCCATCATGTCAAGGTTAAGAGACAGCCGAACCTGGACAATCCATGTTTTTCAAATGTTTTTGTCCTTTTCTTCGCGGGCTTAACATGCAATTTCAGACTTGGTGTCACAGACTTGTACTCATCATTGGAGAGGTCCCGCTGAAGAAAGTGCTGTAGTTACTTGTTGGACTTTTTTCTCTAGCTTTCTATTTTCGTCTTCAGTCCGGTTTGTATTCCATCGTTTCGTACCTTTTCACAATATAGTATTATAAAACTTTGCTTCAATTTGCGGAATTATTTTAATGTATTGGTCGATAAACTGTGGCTGTGCAGCCTTCCCTTCCAAGCGGGTGGAGATCTCCAGTAGAGTGAAAAGGAATGGTTTGAACTTCTAAGTACTTAGATGTATCATCTGAGCAACAGTAGCTCTCCTATTTCATATGCAAAGGGCTAAACATTAAACATTAGGATTCCTCGGCAAGCCTTGGACGCTGGAGCAAACCTAACCATTTTTGCAAGAACATTAAGCTTAGACAGTCACCTTTCAAACGCCATATTTGAAAGTTCTTGGTGACAACTTATAGAATCTTACGCTTGAACATCTTTGAGCAAGAACCTTTTTTTTTCTTATGATGCCGAATTATAAACTTAGGTTTAGTGAAACACTATTAATTTTTGTTAAACTCACGCAGGAACTTTCGCGCCAATCTAATATTTATCAAAAAATCCAATTGCTTGATAGGAGTGGCGAGATGTTCAACCATACGACAACACAGCGAACTGCTGGCTCTTGCTCACGACTTTTTCAAGCGTTTGTGGAACGCCAAAGAAAACTAGTGCAATGCATCCTGTTGCATAATCACTCTGAAGCTGTATTGAAACAATTCTGAGATTACAAAATTTATTGCTATTATCAAAAGACTAGGTATCACCATGGACCCGGCTTCTGCAACACAGCGTTATTCATCCATGTATCTACCACAGTTGCATTGCATGATGCCACAAATTTGACGAAGGGTAGTTTTCCGACTTGATCTTTTCCTTGCGCAGCAACGAAACCGGCCTCATCTTTTGTCCACAGTACATCCAACCAATCCACGACCACTTGCCCTCTAAATTATGCATGAAGGTCTATTCAAAGCAGAGGAATTGATGGATGAAAGCGTTAGCGTTGTATTAGTAGGGCATAGGACTTAGGGAGCCCAAGAACTCTTCAAAGTGAGCTGACAGAGCGATGAGTTAGGTAAACTGTGAGTATCGTCGCAGGATTCTCGAAATTTTTTGATAAACTCATTGAGAAACTCAAGAAAAAATTATGTTTTCTTACTTTGATTTATTTACTATTACTCTACTGTCCATATGCAGCTGTTGTCTTATGTTTCTATCATTTTATGTTAGATTCAAAGATCGACACATCGGATTAGCAGGTGAAGAGATACAGCAGTTGTATGCCAGTGGTGCACCGGAATAATTTTGATGAGGGGGGGGGATGGGGAGACAAAAATTTTCGAACATAGTAATTTGAGAAAGGGGGCGTGTCTGCCGTTACTTCCAGGATAATTCGTTTACAAACCTAATTTGAGTTTTTGAGGGTTTTTGAAAAGTATTAGGTTGTCCCGAACGTGCTATCGTTTCATTTTTGATAATTTGTAACTTTGCGCTATCCAAACAGATTTGCATACTTTCAAATTTATTCAAAAGCGTGAGTCTTTCGCTTTCGAATACTTTCATTTCTAGCTTCTAACACTCACTGATTGCAGAGATAAAAATGGAAAAAAAGACCATATAAACTTTGGTTATTGAGTTAGGTCGCCAAAAGTCTGAAACGCTGCGAAAAAATCTGAAATCGTAAGTGCACAGTTTTTTTTACCTACTCTTTGCAACTGTGAAAAGTTTGTGCTGTTTGGACGTCTCTGTGAAAAGTTACGAATTTTGACTTTACTACAGGAAACGCCAAAATTAATTAATTTGCCTTTTCTCAAAAATCACAACTTCCTACAGGCACATCCAAACAGCACAAACTTTTCACATTTGTAAAGAGTAGATCTAAAAACCTATGTACTTATGTTTTCAGAATTTTCCGCAGCAGTACAGGTTTTCGGCGACCTAACTCAAAATGATAAAAGTTTATATGTCTTCTTTTTCCATATTTGTCTATGCAGTCAGTGTGTATTAGGAGCTAGGAAGGAAAGTGTTCGAAAGCGAAAGACTTAATCTTTTAGTCATAATTACAATGATGCAAATCCGTTGAGACAGCGCAAAGTTACAAACAGAAAAATTGTTCTGTCGTTTCAAAAATGAAACGACAGAACGTTCGGGACAACCTAATATTACAAGTGAAACAATCACTTGCACAGTTTTGATCCATGTACGCTACTAATTGGAGACTGACTTTCGGGGGGACACCTCCTCGCCGATCCGCTACTTGTGCTTTGAATAGTTTCGAGTTCTTAATAAACAACATTTTTAGCAAGTTCCAGGTTACCTTCAGAATTTCACGATACTTCGCAATGAATGTAAAAATACTTAAATTTTGGAGTTCGTAATCACATCATGCGAGCAATGCTGCTGTTTTATTTCGTTTTTTTCAAAAATGAACTTCTTGGTGTTAGTGAGGATTCAATTTTGATAAATTTTTCAGGGATGAGCTGATTGTGATAAATGGGAAATCTCACCAGTGCATCCTCTCTAACCTTAAGACAATTATAATCCGAATTTTTCGTAAACAAATGTGCCAAAAACAAATACCACATTGTTCCGTTTTTGAAGTTACGGTGATGAAAGAATGATGGAAGTCACGAAGATCCCAAAAATCATATGAGCAATCTTCAATACACTTTTCTTTGTTCCTACTCTGAGAGCTTTCAAAGTGCAGTTTGCTACATTTTACCGTCGCAGAAACCTACCCAATCAGAGTTATAGCTTTTGCTGCAGAGATAATATTATGTAAACCTCACCTAGTATAAGATCCTGTAAGTTCTACGTCTACTCTGAAATAGTTGATTTTGCGTGCTACTCGTTTCAGATCTATTGCTGAACACATAGCGATTTCGTCGCAGTATGTGTATTTACGTCCAACCTTTCCCAGAGCTTCTCGAGCTAAAATGTTTTTACTATCATGTTGATTAGTTAAAAGAGAAAGTTTTGAAAATTACGAGCTCTTGTCGCCGTTTTTACAAAAGACGCCACTTTTGTATCATGTTTCAAGTGTGCATCCATGTCGACTTGTTTCTCATGCTAAAATAAAGCTTGAAATAAAGTGGAGTAAATTGGGAATGCGTTAACATACTTCAGATCCTTCAAGGAAAATTAGATCCCATGGAATGATTGTAAGTCTATCAGCTAGTTTTCTCAAGACTACAGATGCCGCATCAGGATCGCCGTGAAAGTTGAACTCAACAGTCGGCATATCCACTACGTTGCCAATTCCTATTCAACAATGGATAAATCAAACAGATCGCAAAACAAATTTATGCATAAACTAGTTATTTTTCCGCAAAGGAAGTGAGAAATCCAAGTGCGCTCGGCGTTTTCATTTTAGAAAAAAAAACTTTTTTCTCATTAAATTTGAATTCATGGGTTTTTGATACCATAGCACACGCCGTACTGACAAAGTTGAATCAATGATTTGCTCAACATTGAAGTGGATGAAGATATCAAGGGGATGGCGTATGGTGTATGGTGTCTTGGTGTCAAGTAAGGTGCCTTACGCCAAAATGACACGAGGTTGTAATCCAGCGGTTTTTGGAACTTTTAGTAATCATGAGCAGGGTCAAGCAAGAGGTGTGGCACACGATTGCTGGTTACGACCCACCCCCCTCTAATTTTTGTCTCAATAAGACCCCCTTCCCCTAAACTATATACCTAAGATATCATTACTTGAAGCTCTGTCAAACATAACGGGCAACATATCCATAATTAGCATGTCAGTCAACCCCTGTAGACAAAGTTTGGGCGAATTCTAAAGATTCAAGATACTGGGCCACCTAAGTGAAACGTCATTTTCCAACATGATCAACTTTGTTTCAAAGGTGAATTAGCTATCCGTTTTTGCACTTAAGACAAAGCGCTACTCCTTCTTTGTCCAACTCAGAAATCCCGCTTCAAAAGTCCTTCAAACTATGGAATTTAAAACCAACCAAATTCTCGTTTTTCCCATTTTTCGCTTTTCATGGCTGTGCTTTCTCTAGATATTACTCAGAGCTAAGAAGACGATTCAGGCTCAAATCACTCCTGTGAAATTTACTTAGGCTATTGATTCATGTAAACACTGTTCGCTAGAAATGTTTTTTTATGTAGCTAATGGGTTGTGGCACACCCCTCAAAAGCTGTGGCTGCCACAGCTTTTCAAGGGGGTGCCACTCCATTAACTTAACTTCAAAACATTCAAATAGCTGTGTTTTTTATATCGTTGCTATTGCTCAATCTTCTTCTTCACACAGCAGGAATTTCACGTGAAATCTTTCATCTAGGGAAAGATATAATCGATTTTTTCGCCTATGCAAATGGAAAATACTGCAAAAATATTGGGTTACGGTAACTTCGCTACTATGTAAATCGCGAGGGAAGGCGAGAAGAATGTATATGTTGGATAATTTAGGCCTCGTAGTTTACAGTGATTTGAGCCTGATTGGTCTTTTCTAGTCCAAGATATTGGAAGCGAAAAATGGAACAAACGAGACATTGGCTTGCTCTTAATTCCATAGTTCAAGGGTTGTTTGAAGTAGGATTCCTAGTGTGAGCAAAGAAATAGTAGTTCTTTGTATTAAGTGCAAAAAGAAGTAGCTAAACCTACCTCTGAAACAAAATTAACGTGTTTAAAAATGACCATCTCACATGGGTGGACCTATTCGGAAACCTCAAAATTCGCTGAAACTTGGCCCACAAGGTTTATTTCCATTCTTTTATAAATCTTGTATTAGGCTTACTGTAAGTGATGATAGGCCAAAATATCAATGTGCTAGTATTTTGCATGATGGACCTATCCGACATTGTTAACGAATATCATGTTATCGCTAACATCAAAATCAAGTTAACAACTACCCTCTCCCTCCTCTCTGACCCCTGTACGACCCCCCAGGTGTGGAAAGCCGCACCCCAAGCTTGACCCTGATCTGAGTTACCCATAAGGCATTTCGGGGTTTCTGCTTGTATTTTGTGATAAAACTCCTGCCGTGTACCAGTAATATGGTACCTTTCTGATGAGCTCAAGCACAACACTAGAGCCTCGTGCTGCGTTCGCGGGCGTACCGCTCGAACGTTTAGAGCTGCTGCATCGATCGCAGTCGCTGCGGTGCCCGCGCGATGCGGAGCCTAGTTCCTACGGAGAAGGGATTACGTGGTTGACAGATTGTATATGGATTAGTAACACAGGACTTATTCAGCAAAATCTGCGATTTTGAGACATACATACTGTCCCCTGGGTCTAATTTTCTTAAGCTAGAATAGCTTCAAATTTAAACGTCAATTTTCTCGTCCGCCACTCACTTCACTGAAGCGTATCTACTCAAACCGCTGCGCAGATTGTTGTATGCAAGGGAATATAGAGCAGGAATTTTATTTCACTTGCGGTACATTAAAACAACAATGTGCAACAATCATTGTAATGTCCTCAGCAGATCCGTCTGATTCAAAATCAGAAAAAATCTCCCTGAGAATGAGAATTTGGAAGAAGGAAAGCAAAATGCGGAGACCTCCTAATATCGATAAGGTACCGAGAACATAACATGTGAGGCTCTCAATTCGCTGCCAAATAACTAGATGTTGTTTTTGAGTAGTGTAAGAATAATATGAACGTTTTTATTTGATTACTCTCACCTTTTATATGGGTCCGAAGCAACTGCTGTTATCAGTAGTGCGACCTTTTTCTTTCCACCAAAGTGATACAAAAACTTTAAGCGTGTCACCCCACACACCCTTTGATTCAGCTGACTTGGGGGCTGGACGGGGCTTCGTGACCTAATTAGGTAGGTAATGATCAGAGAGCACGCGCGCGGGAGAGGCGCAGACTGCGTAGCAGGCGCGAGCGGCCTCGATTAGATCACAAGCCCCCGCCTTCCAACAGCCAACCATTTAAATAAAAAGTTACCTCCTTCAAACGCCTTTTTTTCCTCTCATTGCATCCGACATTTCTTCAAAACTTCTCCAAGATATTTTTTTCGCTTATAAATTTTCAGTGCAAGATCAGGTGCACATATAGTGATGTGAATAAAAACAATTTCATGTAATGGTTAAAGCTTGATTCGATTTCGGTAAGTCTAGGTGGATAAACCGGTGAATTTGATGCTTTCAGAGTTGGTCAGAAGACTTGTGCGTCTTCTCGACAAACGTAAGCTTCAAACATTTCTGAAGATAATTTTTGTGACTTGTGCGTCTTCTCGACAAACGTAAGCTTCAAACATTTCTGAAGATAATTTTTGTGAGGTGATTAGTCACATTTTTTGGAGAAGATTTACGATATACAGCTTAGTAAGCGCCCGTTCATAAAACGCAAGAGTTGAAGCGAAGAAGGTGCAGGTTTGAATGATAATAGCAGAATATTACCGTAGTAGTTTCCTCCCATGACGAACACTTTGGCAAATTTGAAATTTGGATCAAGTTTAAGAGCCAGTGCGACATTAGTGAGTGGTCCAAGGCAGACCAGTGTTGCGTCGGGATGCTCTCGTGAAATGCGAATCAAAGCAGTTGCTGCAATCTCGTCCGAAGTCGGTACAAAGTCGCTTTTAAGAACCTGCAACAGTGTTTCTAGCTGGAACCAGAAAGTGTCTCCAAAAAAATTATTTTTTATTTGCCTCTGATGTTTCATTATGCATTTTACTATATTCCAAAAATGAGTTGAGGTAACATATACGAAGGATTAGTAAACCGCAGTAATCTCTACAATTATAGTCTTACCTCCGGGAACTCCTTCGGTCGATCACCAAGTCCGTCTTTGCCAAACAAAACATTTTCACTCAGGATATTACTTTTTCGACCAACTATCGGCTCCATAGCTCCTTTGTAAATTGGCTTCTGTCACACTTTTATTTTGCTTTTGATTATGCAGCTTTCAGTAAAGACATACAGAAACTCCACTTGCACGGAGACATCTAGCAACATTTGCTGTCGCTTGTTCCACTGAGACACAGCCGTGAACAGTGGTGATGGCGAGCACCTAAAAAGAATTTTTAGAACCCGAGACTGCTATGTGAATGGAACTATACTCTTCTGTATTTACGACCAAGAAGTGAACGATATTCACAAAATCAACTGCAGTATGCAAGAGCTGATGTGCTGGAAGTGCCGTCACACCTAACACTCTGCTTATCTCTTCTTGTGGGTCCCCTTTTGAAAATTTTTGCTTTGAAATGGATCCACTTCAAATACCGATGGTCAAGTTTGCTTTTTCCTTGATCAGCGTACTACATTTTATTGAGCAGCAATATAGCTTTTGTCATATTTTTCTACCCATTAATACCAAATCTTGTGTAAGCCTTAAAGTTGTTTCATAAAGTGCGGTTCATAATTATACGAACACCCTAAAATTTTGTAAGTTTTCGGACTTTTTGGGAGAAACTCAAAAAGCCGTTGGTACCACGCGAAAGAGCACAACCGAAAACGGTATATGACCCTTAAGAATGGAAATTGATGTCAATCTTAGGAGTGTTTTTGCGCCTAGTGCGAATTTTTAGCGGTTCATAATTATACGAACACCTCAAACAAAGGTTCATTTCTCATCCGCGGTGCAATCATTTGAGTCCAAATTTTTTGCAGAGTCACAGTAATAAGGTCTGAAACACCTGCTACACACTGAACCCAGTGAAGTTCAAAAAAAGGACCATTACTTTTTTTCAGAAGGCTCTAAATGCTTTTGGAGTGATTGCGCTCCAAAAACATCCGTTCTTCTGTGGTTTACGCGCTCTAATTAGCTTCTGCCAAAGCTATGAGATAAAATAAGCCTCTTTTGATAGGTATCTTGTTTGGCGCTCCGAAAATCTTTGCATTTTTGTGCCTTTTTTCAACCAAGTTCCAACCTTAGCACAGAGTCAGCACGATTTCAAGCCTCAAAACTCAGCTTCTGTCTTGCGCAAACATTTGATATGAAGCAGCTGCATTGCTTGCATGATGATGTTTCTGTGCCAAAGTTTTTGGGTTTTTTGTAGGACTGATCTTGAGGCTGCGGAGCTGCAAACCAAGTAGAGGTGTGATTGCAATAGTAAAAACAGTGTTTTTGGTGAAATGACGTCTGCGTGGCCAAAACAAACGCTCAACGCTGCTGATTTTTTCTAGCCAAACATACAGTCTTGTGAACTTCTACATACTATATGCTTACTTCATTGTACGGCTTCAGAAGCGAGTTTTGAGGCTCGAAATCGTGCTGACTCTGTGCTAAGGTTGGAACTTGGTTGAAAAACGGCACAAAAATGCAAAGATTTTCGGAGCGCAAACAAGATACCTATCAAAAGAGGCTTATTTTATCTTATAGCTTTGGCAGAAGCTAATTAGAGCGCGTAAACCACAGAAGAACGGATGTTTTTGGAGCGCAATCACTCCAAAAGCATTTAGAGCCTTCTGAAAAAAGTGACGGTCCTTTTTTTTAAACTTCACTGGGTTCAGTGTGTAGCAGGTGTTTCAGACTTTATTACTATAATTCTACAAAAAATTTGGACTTGAAGGATTGCACTTGCGAATGAAAAATGGACTTTTGTTTGAGGTGTTCGTATAATTATGAACCGCTAAAAATTCGCATTGGGCGCAAAAACACTCCTAAGATTGATATCAATTTCCATTCTTAAGGGTCATATACCGTTTTCGGTTGTGCTCTTTCGCGTGGTACCAACGGCGTTTTGAGTTTCTCCCAAAAAGTCCGAAAACTTACAAAATTTTGGATGTTCGTATAATTATGAACCGCACTTTAGTGACAATTAGAGATAGTATTTGCACATATGAAGGCCAGATTGAGACTATCATAACTTATAATAACGGGCTAAGGGTTGTTTACGTTTTTTTGTGTGTGTGTGTCTGTCTGTCCGTTACGAAATTCGTAGGGAGAGTTCCAGCCAAATTCTTAAGCCCAAATTTTGCATAGCGCATCCTAGCAGCAGAAAAGTCCATTGTGCAAAAGCAGAAGCGGGTCCGATAAGTGGATCCCCTTAAAATTGCGCATGAAACGGGTCCACTTAACTTCTGACCAGCAAAATTGGGCCCGTATATAAACTTTTTGCAAAGTCATGGATATGTTTGACAAGCTAATGTACAAGCCATGGACTTGAGCCCAAAAAATTCAACCAAAGTTGGTTACTTTACGAAGATGGCGCCAAAAAGAATAGTTGCGTAAATGTTCAGTTTTCCAAGATTTTACTTGATCATTTGAGAAAATTTTTGCACAGAGATGTAGCACAAGATGATTATTGCCGTTATGGCGACTACCAAACCATAAAAAGTCCACAAACCTATTCAAATTTGCATTTATTCTACAGAGAAAAGTTTCATCCCCGTGAAAATACCGATCTCACACAAAAAAGCTCTAGGAATGAGTAGTTGTTTACAAATCATTCGTGATAGCCTGCATAACGCGGTGAGTTTCAATGCCACTATCATGCGGGAATGACAAGGCATACAGAAAGTACGGCCAGTGCGAGCCTCTGCGAAGCAGAGGTGACGCACTGGTAAGTAGATAAGCTTCATTCAATTTTTTCAAATTTTACTCTGTGTTGCTTTTCCTTGTTTTTTTTTCTCTCATAACTTTGTGGATTATTTGAGCACTTCCTTACGCTAAGATGTGGTGACTTTAAAACGAAAGAGAAGGAATGAAAAAGTTGCAAAGAGAATCAAGTGCAAATAATTTTTGTGTGCGTCGTATGAGAGTGATGGAAAAATGTGAAATTCAAAAAATTAACCAAAGATTTTTGGACAAGGTTCAACGTGCGAATGATAATTGACTTTCCTTGTCATTATTCGCAACCATCCTTCCCATAATTATCCTTGAATCAATTGTATCGTCGATTCGTTGACCGCACGGACTGCTCAAACGCTGCAAACCGCGCACAGGGCGGCTGCATGTCGCGAAAGCACAAATTGTACAATAGCGAATTCGTACTGGGCAAGCGTTTTACTTCGCGACGCCTGCGCCGCAGTGATGTCCGGTCCGTGCGGTCAAGGAATCAAACTATAACTTGAAATGTCCTTGCTAACTATGTGCGGCAACCGACGACCGCTTACTGGTGACCTCAGTAAAAATTCTGTTGAGGTAACATAACGTTGAGATTTGATTCTGACCAATACATCTATCCTTACTTACCAGTGCGTCACCTCTGCTTCGCAGAGGCTCGCACTGGTCCTACTTCATATGCCTTACTCATTCTTGACCAATGCTGGCAATGAAACTCACCGCGCAGTGCCGATTATCGCGAGCAAAATGTAAACAACTACCCATCCCAAATGCTTTTTAATGTGAGGTCGGTGATTTCGCGTGGATGAAACTTTTCGCAGAAGAACGAATGCAAATTTGAATAGGTTTTTGGACTCTTTCTGGCTTGGTAGCTGCCATAAGGACAGTAGGCAACGTGAGCTACATCTTTGTGCAAAATTCTTCTCAAATGCTTAGGTAAAACCATGGCAAATTAACCATTTACGCAATCATTTCTTTTTGGCGTTGTTCTCGTCAAGTAGTAAACTTTTGTCCACTTTTTTGGACTGAAGTCCATGGCTTGCACATCAGCATGCCAAACACATCCCCGACTTTGCAAAAAGTAATGATAAGGAACCAATTTTGCTGGCCAGAACCCAAGTGGTTCCGTTTGACGCGCAGTTTCTGAGCGATCCATCCAACAAAACCACTCGTGCTTTTGCATGGTAGGCTCTTATGTTGGTCGCATGAAATGTGCAAAATTTGGGCTCAGGACGTTGGCTGGAACTCGCTCTATGAATTTCGTTACAGACAGACACGCAGACATATACACACACACACACACACCACACACCACACACACACACACACACACACACACACACACACACACACACACACACACACACACACACACACACACACACACACACACACACACGCGCGCACACACACACACACACACACACACACACACACACACACACACACACACACACACACACACACACAAACACACACATACACACACACACACACAAACACACACACATACACACACACACACACACACACACACACGAACGTAAACAACCTTAGCCCGTTATTATAAGTTATGATAATAACGGGCTAAGGTTGTTTACGTGACTTTGTGTGTGTGTCTGCCTGTTACGAAGTTCGTAGAAAGTGTTCCAGCCAACGTTCTAAGCCCAAATTTTGCATAGCGCTGCTACCTGCATGAAAGTCCACTATGAAAAAGCACGTAGATTAGTGCAACCCTCAGAAATTTCGCGCCAAACGAATCCAGCTGGCTTCCGGCCGTAAAATTGGGTCCGTACACCACTTTTTACAAAGTTGTGGATGTTTTTGGTAAGTATATGTGCAAGCCATGGATTATAGCCCAAAACTGGTTAAAAGTCTGCTACATAACGAAAACGGCGCCAAAAAGAATTGGTTGCGTAACTGGTCAATTTGCCAAGGTTCTAGCCAAGCATTTGAGAAGATTTCTGCACAAATATGTAGTTCAGAGTGATTATTGTCTTTAGGGCGACTGTCAAGCTATGACAAGAGGAACATCTTCAAATTTGCATCTGTCTTCCTGCAAAAAGTTTCATCCACTCGAAATCACGATCTCACATGAAAAAGCCTTCGAATTGAGTAGTTGCTTACTTTTTATTCGTGGTAGTCGGCATAGCGGGCGAGTTCCACTGCCATGATTACACGAGAATGAGTTAGGCGCCTAGAGCGTAGAGTGCGAATTCTGGCAAAGCAGAGGTGACGCATTAGCTGCTCTGCTATCTACTATCTATAAAACCAAGTGTTGGTAAATTGTTAGTCAGTGTGTACTTTATAGAAATTTTTGTGTGTGGACCATTCAGCGCCAAACTTTGCACACCTATGTCTTCGAACCGGTCCATCCCGTAGGCTACTTTTCGCAACGAAATTCCCACTACTTCTATTAATTTATCAATTTTGAAGAAAAGCGAACTCTTACCATTCATTATCAAACCACTTCCAATTTTCGAGCAAACAATGCGGTAGAACTTATTCTCATCCCACGATGAAGGGGATTCGGTCAGAAAATATCTACCTTGTGTCACAGGAATAGCAGAAAAAGGTCGAAACGCAGATAAGTTGAAGCTTTTAGAATTGCGCACCAATCTCTTTGTTGAGCCAGTTCAATTCACGGCGCGGGCAAAGTCGGCATGCCAGCTAGTATCAATAAAATTTAAACAGACAAGGAAACAACGAGAAATCATGAGAAATGAGCAGGTTTTATACCTGTCGCCAGCTAGTGCGCATGTTTTACAGTACGTACATCATTTAAAGACTCTACTGTCTGTGTCAGCGATGTGCTCCCTTTCTGAACAAGCTTAAGAGCAAGCTAGAGCCCTGTGCCTCGCTTGCGAGCGCCCAAATTTGCCGCATCAATCGAAGGTCGCCGCGCAATGCCTACGCGTTGCGGATGTGTAGTACGAAAAGAGAGCACGTGGTAGATAAAAAGACATAAAAAATGCACCTCTACATCAGGATGGTTCACAGCAATCGTAATTGCTCGTACATCATCAGCAACGCCATCAGTATCTGAGTAATAAATAGTTCGTCGATTCCTTGCATACAGTTAGAACATACCTACAACTAGTTTTACTTTTCCCATATACGGCGGTCTACTCAGTTAAAAAGCCAGCGAAAGTCCTGCACGGAAGCAATTTATCTACCAGTGGCTTCACAATTAAAATAACCGACCGCCTGCAGTTAGTAGTGTCAGAGTAATGGTTCATCGTTCTCTTAGCATCCATGAATAAGTAAATCGGATATGAAACACTCCCGTTGATTCAGCACAAACTACATTTTGTAATCATTATTCCATCTGCAAAGATGAGTATAGTAAGCAATTTTCATGATCAAAAAAAAATCTCTACGGTGTTTGCACTGACCACAACAGATGGGATTTGCCATTGAGTACTGAATCTAACGAAAGAAGAATACTTGGTCAAAGTGGCGTTTCCATATGAAGTTTTAACTGTCTCAAAAATATGGAGCACTGAATCCAAATCTGCTCTCAATATCTGCAAAGCGCTTTCGAGAACGGGAATGTAGATTTTTTAGGTATAGGGTATTCAAAATCGTGAAGGTAGCGCGACCCCGCGCAACACACACATCCTCCCGGAAACCGCATTTTCTTGGTCTTCAACTCTACTCAAATGGTTTTTTTGCTTACATGCGACGAAGTTTAGATATTGGAAGTGATTGGAAGAAGCTATAGTTGACGTGATGCTATTTTGTAGGCGTTTTTATGGGTGTTTCCTGCTTCTGTGGGAGCAGAGACTGCAGTTAAATCCGTCGTCACGATTTTATAAACGACCCATGAAAGTTTAAGGGTACGGCCAAGGTAAAACAGTTGTTACCTTCTCTTTGGCGCTAAGTAGTAATTGCTGGCATGAGTTTATTAGACTGAAGGTATTTATTGCACGAAGCGTTTTGGAGGTAGTCATAGCTCCATTAGATCTCACGAATACAGTTCTGAAAGATATCGTAGCAACACGGTCGATTAATTTCCCATAACTTCCCTTGCAGATGCGCTTTGCAGATTCAAAAACATTTTGAAAACAACGTTCCATGCCCTACAAGGCATTATAATTTTTATGTGAAAACGCCACTTCAACCAAGTATCTTTCCCTTGTGAGTCTGTTTCGTATATTTTGAAGAGGTCTTGAATGGCCGTTTGCTGAAGGCGTCATGTTATATCTTCTAGCAAGAAGCAATGATACAAAAGCTTGGATGCATAGCACGTTGCTTGGAGTAAAACAGTTCACTCAAAAGTAAACAACTCAACTTATATCTCTCCGAATGTATTGATGAATAAAGAGCGGCAAAAAATCAGCAGCTAACGACTAACAAGCAATGGCCAAAAGCAGAGTAAATCTTCTCCATGAGATTTCCCCAAATAGACATTTTGTGACTAGTTTTCATTATAAACATCACTGTCTGTCGCGACTTCGCAATGTAGAGCAGTTCCTCTGAACAGGTGCCGGGAGCGCTTTATGCCGTGTTTACTGTCGCGTCTTTTGTAGTCGCCGCATGACCATTTCGGATGGGAACGCGGCCAAGCGGCGGGATATATAAGGTTGCGCGCAAAGTAGCCCTCGCCATGTTTGACGTTCGTTTTCGATACTGATTGTTTTTTTCATCACAATTGGCCCAGTTCCCAGCCATTCCGCATGGAAGGACTTTACTTTGATATGCACTTGGAGTGTTTGTATTAGCGCGAGAAGCGTTCAAGGTGATGATTAGTATTTAGATGATGCATTAATAGATGAACATCGTTGCGGGAGTGAAGCTGGGGTCTGCCGTTTTATTTGGAACAGGGCCTCTAGTGGCAGTTCCTATTAGTGGAACCTAGACGTTTTCATGTTAGGTGAGCCTACACTGCATTGGTAGCACGGAACGACGCCTGTCCTGTTATCATCCTTGGTCGTAATATTTAAGGGCCTTGTAGATTAGCAATTTTTTGTTGCGTAATTTTTTATATAAATGTTGCTAAGAATGTGAATTCGTCTGAATTAGTCGCGCGTAGTACATGGTTTGATTTATTGGGGTGACAGCGTCGAGTAGACGCGCTGAAGTGTGCGTCGGTGCTGGACGCGTAACATCTTAGGGTGTAAGGTTAGACAGGGCAGTCGAGCACCGGGAGGGGTGTTGAGCCGCAACAATGCTCTATTCAAAAGTTTAAGAGTTAAAAGGACTTTGACAGTCGATTTGAAACGCTACTAGTGCGTGTGCCACCACGTGATCCAGGAGTTTCAGGTTCTAGAGAGAATTAGCACTCGCATTTTCGCGAACAAAGTCGAACTGATAAGAGCCGTTCACTAATCGTACGCTTCAACTTAAAAATGCACTTCCTTTCTCCTTGCTTGCTTCCCAGGCATGATCGTTTTGCAATACGCAGTCTTTTCTAAACGAATTTCACTATGGTTTTGAAGCCATGAGAATATCACGCTGCTATATTTTTCTTTGCCCTACTAACAGCAAATCTCATCGTGATTGCAGAAGAAGATAGAACAGTAACTACCGTTAGGACGTTGACACCTCTAAGAGAACTTTGAGAGACACATAGAGTTCTCCAAAGTGACGAATTCTTTGAACGCGAAATAACCAAAGAATTTTATTTTCACTTCGAAAATGTTAATCATAAGGATATATTAGGTTGAACCGAAAGTTCGTTCGCACCATTTTCAAAAAATCATAACTTCTTTCCGTCACAACGATTTTGCGCAATTCAAATTTTATTTGAAACCGTAAAGCATGTAGTTTCCAAAATTGCCCTGGCAACTTTCCAAGATGCTCAGTTTGCAGAGATAAAAATAAAACGAGATCATCCGAAATTCGGAATTTTTAAGCAAAAATTCTAGAAATGCAGAAACTGTGCGATAAAATCCAGAATAGCTGTCATCCTAGGTTTTCTTGTATTCTATCACTAACTGAGTCAAGTTTGTGTTGATCGAGCTCTTCTTTGAAAAGTTATGATTTTTTGAAAATAATTGCCGAAAAATCAGTTTCAAGATGACAGCTATTCTGGATTTTATCGCACAGTTTCTGCATTTCTAGAATTCTTGCTTAAAAATTCCGAATTTCGGATAATCTCGTTCTTTCATTTTTTACCTCGGCAAACTGAGCATCTTGGAAAGTTGCCAGGGCAATTTTGGAAACTACATGCTTTACGCTTTCAAATAAAATTTGAATTGCGCAAAATCGTCGTGACGGAAAGAAGTTATGGCCCGTAGTAAACCCCCCTTCAGGGGATCTGCCCTGAAAAGGACCTGAGTTGATCGTAACGCTCCTCGGTCCAGCGTGCAGTGAGCGATTGATCGGAAAATCCATACCCTACGATACAATCATGGATACGCTCCAAAGCCATAGAAGAGGAAACAGAACCAAGGTCCACTAGCGTAGTGGTGAAGAGTTCGGCGTGGTATTGGCACGGTCGGAGGTTCAAGTCCGCTGCAGTGCGATTGTTTTTGGGATGGCTTCAAAGAATTTCTTTTTTTCTGGACATTGTAGTTTAGTGTCAGTGATCGATTTCTTTCCAAAATCCATAATTAGCGCCAAGGTGCGTTGCGCACCATCGTTTGATGTTTCTTCTCTCTTTTCTACACCCCTTATTTCATTTTTAAACGAAGTTTTATAATCGTGTTATAATTGTGGATCTGTGTTACATCAGTAAGCATATGAGTATGCTTACTCATATGATTGAAGCATGCACACTTACGGCGCTCTGAAACTCCGAAATAGCCATCAGCAGGAGGTTGAAGGGAAACTGAGTTAGTAGAGCGGTGAAGAGGGCGGCCTGTCGTGCCATGCATACCAGGTTCGATTCCTGTCTGGCCCGAAACGTTTTGTTCTGTGTGCAAAGACTTCAGCTTTGTCTCTACTGTTAGCACTCACGTTATAAAAACGCGATTCAGTTTTTTCCCGTGATCATTGATTTCTAAACTTGAATGGAACCAACATCTGAATATTTGTTTAGATGGCTTCGCTCTTCTTCAACGTCCGTCAGCAGCGCCAGAGGAACGTCCGTTATCAACGTGTCCATCCTTCCTCTGTGTTCCAGCAGAACGATCGCATCTTCTACTCGAAGTACAGGTTTCGTAGAGAAGATGTTAAGAAGATCGTAAGGATGCTCGAACCGCTGCTGCCGGATGCAGGGCTGGAGCCTTGGGAGATCAGTAGAGAGGACCAGGTATGGGCATCTGTTCATGAAGGCCCGCTATAATTACTCTGTTTTCGCTCCAGGTCCTCATCACACTCCGCTACCTGGCCACCAACAGTCATCAAACTGTTATAGCTGACTGTTTCGGGGTGTGTCAGAAGGCTGTGAGTGATGTCATCACCCGGGTAGTGGATGCTCTCAATCATCCAACAATAGAGGCCCGCTTCCTCCGCTTCTGGCCGTCGGACGAGCGCTGGTGCTTGCGAAGGTCTCGAGAATTCGCTAGAAACTCGAGATTCACAAGTAAGAACTTCATGAAATTCTTTAATACTTGGATAAAATGCTTTTTTTAGATGTCATTGGATGCGTCGATGGTTGCCTCATCCGAATCCAGCGCCCTATCAACTTCGGCAACCACTACTACTGCCGAAAGGCATGTTGCGCAGTCAATATGATTGCGGTAGTGGATGCCAGGGCCCGCTTCATGTACATCAACTGCGGATTCGCGGGCAGGCACCACGACTCATTCATATGGCAGCATTCGCAAGCAGCTGCCGAGTTCGACGAGGGTCGCGCTCGTCCAGGATATCGCCTCCTGGGCGATGCCGGCTTTGCCAACTCCAGGAGTGTGATGGCGCCCTTCCGAGATCGGGCCACAGAGAATGACGTCAGGAAGAGGAGGTTTAATAGGGAGCACGCCAAAGCTCGACGAGTCGTCGAGCAGGCGTTCGGAGCGCTGAAGCGGCGTTTCTGCATACTGTACAACATCACCCGCATTCAGCCTCCGAAGCTCCAGAAAGTCGTGAAGGCCTGCGTCATTCTCTACAACATCGGCATCTACCTGGGAACGCACAGAGGACAGTCCTTGTCGCCCATACGCCGCGGTTGGATGACCCATCCCCCGGACAACGACCACGTCAGGGAATTTGTTGTCGAGAACTTGTAGAAGGTCACCGCCGCGACGATGATGAAGATGCACTGAAGTTCGTGACTTTCTTGTATACATACGCGCATGTATGCAATTTGGTTGGCCTACACTGTGTTCTGCAGCACGAGCCGCGGAGTGCGGGCGTGCATTGTGGGCAAGTGCAACATGTAGCCATACGCAACAATGTCTGCAACATGTTGCCAAACGCAACATTGTCACGTGCAACATGTTGCCCCACGCGCAACAATGTCACATGCAACATGCTGCCACGCGCAACATTGTCTGCACATGTTGCCACGCGCAACATTGTCTGCACATGTTGCCACGCGCAACATTGTCTGCACATGTTGCCACGCGCAACATTGTCTGCACATGTTGCCATACGCAACATTGTCTGCACATGTTGCCATACGCAACATTGTCACATGCAACATGTTGCCACGCGCAACAATGTCAGCACATGTTGCCACGCGCAACAATGTCACATGCAACATGTTACCACGCGACGTTGTCGTGTCGCGTGGTGCAACGTCACATGAATGTCGCGGCGTGCAACACGTACCAACATGCAACATATGACCATATTATTGTGGCCATGGCCATACTTTCCTTGTTAACGCTGCTCCGATGTTAGTAGCCACTATTTTGTGCTTGTGCTTTGCGTCGGTCGTGGACTACGTTCGCTTATTGGTTTTAGTGTACATACACAAGAATACAGTTTGCCAAAAACATGACGTACGCGGGAATTGCATTCTGATTTTACCATTGAGCACTTTTTCAATGATTTGTTGATGCGTTTCTTGTCTTAGAATCATATCTGAGGTCATGCGCTAGTTCCGTTAGGTCACTATATTATTACACTTCTTCTATTACTCCATTTTATGATTATCACGGTGTTTTCGGACTACCATACGAATGGGTCCTTACCCGACTGTCGAAGAGTTTAACTCCGAATTCAATTTTCATTTGTTTAGCAACTCTTTCCATATGCAAGAGTGGTTTCTCGTTTTATGGGACAGACTTTGCCAGGAAAGTTATCGCTTCGAAGCAATGAGATGAAGTTCTCGAAGACTACTCGAAGTAAGTTTTGCCAATTTTTATGATCATTTGAAATGGAACTTTCGTTTTTTTTAGTTAATTTTTACCTTACACACGATTTGAAGGTAATTTACAAGTCTACGTTTAGAAAACCACTTCAACTCGTCAATTCCTCTTTGCTGTTAGAATTGCTTACCGGCCATCCACGTCCTCGACAAATTCAGAAACTTTCGGCGGTGCCATGAACCCATAAATGCGAGAACAAATCGCTGCAGAGTCATGGAATCCGTCTGGATTCCGTATTGTTGGGACCCGTTCATTTTGGAAGAAAGTGGGATCTTCGACTGAAACAGCAATCAAACTACAATCAACTACAAACCTGAAAGAGAATTATCAGCGAATGAGATGGACGAACCGTGTCTATAATCTTTCTCGTTGCTAGTAGTTTCTGACTAAGTAGATAATAACTCACTTTCGTCTTCTAGGATGTATTTGTTGATTATGAACAATCAGGCATCAGGCTAGATTCGTCACTAAATACCATATTGCACTCACTGCACAGAAGCAAAAGTACGAATTGAAGAAAGCACACCGCTTCTCCCAAAAATGCTTCGGCCCGGGTAGCAAGGAAGGTATCTAGACATCATGCCATATATAGAAAAACCTTCCGACATTGGAGGACTGTAACAAAGACCACCGCAATAACTCTCGATAGCTTCACCAACTACGTGGACAAAACTATGCATTTCATTCAAAGTACGTAAGTCTGCAACCTTATTCGATGTCTGACCATCGCTTAGATCCCTTTTTGAAGGGGCAAAAGGCTCGTCCTTGAACATCTTTTGCTTTTTGTAGGCAGGAGCTCTAAAAAATCCAACACTACTGAAAACAAAGCAACTATGCAGCGACATCATTACCTAGCAGGTACAATATTGTTGAAGCGGTCTTCCTTGGCCCTGTAGCTATCAAAGCTAGAAGAAATCTACCCGTATCTTGATGATTATGCGCATACTGAAAATCAAAAACATTGATAACAGCATAAAAAACATCTGCTAAGAAAAACCAAAATAAGATTATCAGAGATGATTCTGACGAGGCAATTATACCACTTACCATGGCATGTATTGGCACTGTTGCATGGAACGCTACTCGGTTAACTCCTGAAAACCAGAAAATGACTTTTTATCACTGTATATGAGTTGCATACCTCCGCTACCCTCCAAAACATGTTTAACAACATCACTGGGTTGTTCGAATAGGCCAGTTTGTCAATAACAAAAATATAACATCGCGAAATATGACAATATGACATCTTAGACTCTTTCAATAGCATCAGACGAAAGAATGAAGAAAGTCCAGCGAACAACGGAACAACAAATGGACTAGTGACACAAGCAAATTGATATAGAGAAACGAGAACAATCGTGGCAAGTTCTGCCAGAGCAACAATAACAAACGCAAACGCACTTACAACAACGATTAGTGTAAACAAATGATACTTGTGCTTTCTTACTGACTCGAAAACACTGATTCCTCTACATTTTCATCGCCAGTGATGGGTGCAGCCCTCCCTCCACCGCTTTGCATGCATACTTCAATTCCCGGGGTAGTTTGACTCTTCTGTGATGCGATGAAGTCACACATGACGTGCAATGTGTGGATCATCTCGTTCAGAAACTTGCGCTGGTCCTAAATGTTGCATTTTTATTAACAACGCCATCGGTTAAACTCATGCTCACCTGGATCAACCTATACTGCTCTTGCAGTAAATCGGCTTCCGTTACTCTCAAACGACTCTTCATTTTGGCTCTTGCATCGCCTCCTCCACCTAAGTCTGGTTGCCTGCCCGTCCCGGCTCCATAATCTTCTTCTTCAAGGTCTGTATCGCTTTCAAAATCAACCTAAATAACTCGCTTGAAGTGTGAGTCATGACAATACTGAGACTTACCATAAGCGGCTCCTCTTCGTGACCGCGGTTGCCTTCGTGAGCGGGGGAATTCCTCTGTAATCAATCCATGCAAATTGGGTTTGGGCTATAAAATCACGCACCTTTCCTACATGGCTTTCGCCCTCGACAAATGGAGTAGTGACCGGGGTATTTTCGAAAAAACTCCAGAGTTTTTCTTCTGCAGGGCTTTCAAAGGGGCAGGAATCGTTATTTTTGGAGAAACGAGTTTCTTCGGAAATGCTTAATCCACCCCCCGTCCTGGAGCGATATCTAAAGATTGTTGTTTGATCAGAAATGAACAAAAAGTTTTTTGAATTTCTTACTTTTTTTCGGCTGCGAATCCCTTTCTCAAAGTCATTCCCTTTGAGATCACTTTGGATCTCACGTGGTCGAAGTGATTTCTGATCTTACGTTCGCTCACATCGTATCCAAATTCATCGTGAATCTTCGTGATTAGGGTTTTGTATGCAGCCGTTCGTTTCGCATTTTGGGTGGGTGTGCGGACGTTTGTATCGCTCAACAATACGTCTGCATTGCTCACAAAATAGTCGACTATGTAGCGCGAGACGGAGTTCGGCATTTTGCCATAACTTTCTGCAAAATTGCTCATAAAAGTGGTATTAGCTTATTGAAGACGCTGCTCACAACAAGAGAAACATAACAACGGCCCCCTCCCCGTTAATGACTAGTGTGGATGTAAGGAATAATAATTGCAATAACACCCAGCAAAACATGGGATTACCTTTTAAAAAAGATGCATGCGCCATCGACGGGAATACTTCGTGTGCGAAAGACAACACTGAAATCAGCAGGCGTTGAGAATACAACAAACTCGAAATTAAGTGTGGCAACAATTCGCAAAACACAGATGTCAAGTAGGCAGATAGACAAAGCGATGAAATAGATGTAAGACAGGAGGGATATGTTGCTAGAAATGGCATGAGGAACGGGTTACACTAGATAAACAAGTAATCAAGTAACAAGTAGTCTTATGATATGCACGAAACACGATCTGCGAAGAGGTTCAGATAAGTTGCGATTACAACACCGGCATTCACACACTTTTTTGTCTCGGCGGCATCGTGTTAAAACCAAAACTGATCAAAAGGCTGTTATTTAAAATTCCTACGCGGATATTACGTTAGAGTGCAAAATGTGAAAGTGTGAAAATGCCCAGTGCAAGCGAAAGAAACGAATGAAAGAAAATTTGAGACTCCAAACGTGCAAAAAATGTGTGCAGTTTCGCGCAGTCTAGTCTGCAATATTATGTAAGTGTCCCGTAAGTTACTCACGAGCAACTTACGGGACTTTTCTCTGCGTCTCATCCTTTGCACACTATTTCGGTGGACTCATCTCAAAATCGGGGCTGCTCTTACGGATTTCAGGTGAATTCATCGCGGCACCTGCCCTGACGCGAACCCTTCAGATCAGGTCGCATTCTTATAGCATGTGAGAGTGGCCACTGATCGGTTCATCTCAATAAGCTCAACTCAGCCCCTCAGTTGAGATCATCTCAAATGAAGTGGGGTTTACTACGGGCCTATGATTTTTTGAAAATGGTGCGAACGAACTTTCGGTTCAACCTAATACAGTGCTGGACATAATTATACAGCCACTCTAGAAATCGTCGTAATTTTTGTTCTTGTCAATGAATCTGTCTGAAACTTTGCTGTATTGTGCGCATGTCAACCTACCATAACCCCTCAAAACGGCTTCCAGTCTTGTTGAGTTTGAACGGAGAAAAACGAAAAAAATCGAAAAAGCCCTCTTTGAAAGCTGGACAAAATTATACAGCCACCTGGTTTTTCTAATCACTATCGCATTCGTTGACTCTCAAATTTTTTGTACAATTACATCCCAAGATATGAAACATTTGCGACACTTACGGCCTGTCTTCCTACTCAAATAGAAGCAATCGCTGCATTTCTTGCTTTTAAAGGCATTAAAAGTCAATCTCCTTCAACAAACAACTGCTTTAAAGAGTTTTCAAGCTCTTGTTCATTCCAAATGATAATCATGGAATCTACTGACCCTTCTGGATAGATGAGGTGAAGAGCGCTTTCGTAAACTCTGCGTAATCGCTGATTTTGACGAACAGACTCCAACCTCACCATAGGCGTGGAACGCTTTTAAACCACGAAACTCAGTTTGCAATGTCCACAAAGTGCTGAACTTGATTTATCACATTGTCTACATGGGGATACAGCTTTCGCAACAACTTTCAGATTTTTCCTAATGATGCGGTAGCGATTTAGACCTGGAATACTTTCCACAAAAATTCCCTGCGAGCGGAAGATTCGATATAACCCTAGATCTCCTTATTTCCGTCTGTGTTTCATGTCATATTTCACACGATGAATGAGATTAGCTAAGATTTTGAAGTTTCATCGTCTCCGGTTTTATCTCGTGATCTGAGTTGGCTTTGATTGTACAGGGTGCTCCACTCAACATTCAGTGAATGTCAACTGCGGCTGAATCAGAGTGCTCAGTCCCGAAATTTCTTCCCAGTCATGCACACGAGTTCACTGTTGTATGGCTGTCGTAATGGCTACATTACAGTATTTTCTGTCGCTTGAAAATCGAGTTTTGTGGTTTAAAAGCGTTCCAAGCCTATGGTGAGGTTGGAGTCTGTTCGTCAAAATCAGCGATTACGCAGAGTTTACGAAAGCGCTCTTCACCTCATCTATCCAGAAGGGTCAGTAGATTCCATGATTATCATTTGGAATGAACAAGAGCTTGAAAACTCTTTCAAGCAGTTGTTTGTTGAAGGAGATTGACTTTTAATGCTTTTAAAAGCAAGAAATGCAGCGATTGCTTCTATTTAGGTAGGAAGACAGGCCGTAAGTGTCGCAAATGTTTCATATTTTGGGATGTAATTGTACAAAAAAATTTGAGAGTCAACGAATGCGATAGTGATTAGAAAAACCAGGTGGCTGTATAATTTTGTCCAGCTTTCAAAGAGGGCTTTTTCGATTTTTTTCGTTTTTCCCCGTCCAAACTCAACAAGACTGGAAGCCGTTTTGAGGGGTTATGGTAGGTTGACATGCGCACAATACAGCAAAGTTTCAGACAGATTCATTGACAAGAACAAAAATTACGACGATTTCTAGAGTGGCTGTATAATTATGTCCAGCGCTGTATAATCATACTTACCGCATCAAAGCTAGCTCTACTGAAAAGATATGTTTAACATGAGAAAATCTGAGAGTTAATCCTTTTATCACCTTTGTAAGCGTATTCTGTCAGAGAGGGTGAGGAACAGTTCTAAAAGCTACACATCAATTCTTCGAAGATTTGAATTCACTGTTGCTTATCCAACTACATTGTAACGCCTATGACGAGATGAAGAGACTGTTTCTCTTTTTTCTCAAATATGTATCATTGCTATAAATCTCAAGAGAATGGCTGATTGTAAACTATTTGAGTGCGCCTGTACAGAATTCTATCCAAAACGAAAGCTGCTCTCTCTCTTATCTAAACAAGAAAACTTTTAGGATTGACAATACGAGTTTCCTGTTAGGAAAAAATCAGAACTTAACCCATTTATAACAAACAAGCTACAAATCATCGGACTAGCCTTTGAACGCTAATCTCAAATATACATTTAACTCTACCGAACGACCATCTAAATGGACTTAGGGCGTTTAAATGTGCGATTGTCAAGTTTGTGAAGCATGTTTCACGAAATGCATTCCAAAAGCAATTTAGTTTTTTGCTGATTGTGCCTATTCCTTGTAATTAGATGAGGTAGTAGCCATATTTTCAGGATAGACTAAGAAGACTTGACTTGTCAAGAGTATCTCTGAAATTGTAGCGGTTATTTGGCAGTCCTTCTATATAAAAAATTGGACTTGCATGTATTTGCTTGGAATGTGCTATATGTGCTGTGTTTGTGGATGGATCTCCGATATAAGCTTTGTTTTCTGTCACATTACCTTCCAATTTTCATCTCTAAAAATTGCCATTTCAGGTATTTCTTTGGTTTTGTGATGGTTTGCTTTTTCAACCATGACCATTAATTATGGCTTTGACGTCTATCATGCGTCTCCTCACGCTGCGTCATACTTGTACTTTCGGTTTACTTGTTTCGTTATAGTTTTCACTGACACAATCTCATCGCGTCTTGATCCGAGATCCGATTGATCTGATTCGTCTGATCTTTTTCCTTCAGCAAACTACTATTCAATCTTGCTCGCTATTCAACTAAGTGGATTGGATGTGGATCGTGTTCGCCTTTGAGGTCATTGCGTCTCCCAGCACTCCGGTGAGACGGGATTATGGTTATGGTCATTACAGGGCCAGTAGACCCTCTTTGTAAACTGCAGTATTGCTTTTAAGAGTAACGTAAATCGTTTCGCTGGCTACGAGGGGGCATGGGTCTCATCTCCTTGGAGTTATAAGTTTGCATACATATTATCTGCCTATCAACATATTCAATGCAACCCGTTTTATCTTTCTTTCACATCTTTTGTTCATTCCACTGTATTACTAACTTTCCGTCGTGTTTCTTTGGAAAGCTTTGTGAAAATGAATAACTGACAAAGTTCATACTAGTAAATAATTGAAATTTTTCAGAATTTTCTGCTAGTTTTTTGGGGGCGTGCGCATGCGATTATGCAAAACCATTTCATGGTGCCGGACCGCGCGTTTCCTCCTTCCACCCTCCCCCCCCCTCCCCCGAGAAATGTTGAGAATTTTTGAAAAAAGTGATCTACATGGGTTATTAAATTAAATAAGTGGCATGTTACCGTTTGTAAGTTGTCCAATTATTCAAGGTTTTCGGAAAGTTGAGAAAGTTGAGACCGTAAGCCCCCAAAAGTTTTCCAGAATTCCGCCTCCATCAACCCATCATTTCACCTGACATGAACGTTACTGTACCGACTCTTGCGAGCTTTCAATATAAACAATGCTCCGCAAGCGACAGTCTATGCTCATTTTCTGGTGTAGGTGAAAAAATTCAAAAAGTAAACGAAATGTTCGGTATTTCTGCAAAATGGTGGTATCCGCGAATTCCTAAGCTTATGTGTAGCTATTTCTTTCAATTAGCAAGTAAGAATTTCATGAACAAAAAGCATATATCCAAATAAAATTAAAGCATTTGCTCGGCTACATACTTATCAAAATATAAACGCAGAAGAGCTCTTTTTATCCTCCACGTCAAAACTCACTTGCAGCGACAACATATTGACATCACCTTGGACTGGAAATTTCCATGCATGGGCCTGGAAAAGAGGCACGCCGTTTTGGTTCAATAAGATACGTTTTTTGTCCTGTGCATTTTCATTGATTTCTCTTCATTTTCACATTTCTGGAAGTAAACTTATGAGCAAAGTAGTATATTCAACGAGATCGCATGGAATTCCAGTTAGTTTCTTCTTCCATATAAGTCACAGTTGTTGAGGAAATATGATATCCATCAGCGAAAGAGCTTACAATTTTCACGAAAGCTTCTTCCGTTTTTTCTGAGATAAATAAAACTTTTCTTTTTAGCATTATTCAGCTTAGGATTACAGTAAGGCTAATGATCTGAACAAACGCATAATAAAAGAATTAGTTTCGATGTTTATTGACATAGGATTTTCGCGGAATTCTTGACTTCTACATTTTCTTAGTCGTTGCGGCCGCCACGTGGGCAGTAGAAATGAGCACCCAGATTCTAGAAGAATTTTAGGGTTTTTATGGGTTAAAAATGTAGAAAGTCTCAATTTTGTGGAGATAGAACAAGGGCGGAGCAAGGCGAGAAAATACTGGCTATGATTTTTGTTTA